TAAAGTGAGTTTCAAGGAACAGATGGTTCTATGGCTCTTGGAACACTCAGAACTCTTTGCTGACTTCTGGAGTTGCGGAACGGGTAGTCAAAGTCCCTCCCTATCCATGCCTTGTTGTCAGGGTCCTGACCGCTAGGCCCTGTTCCCCAGCCTCTGATCAGCTGGCTGGTGGGTGGGGCTTAGCAGTAGAAAGAGGAAGGCCAAGGCTAGATTGCTGGTGTCACACAGGTAATGATGTCATCATGCCAGGAACTTCCAGGTGACACTTCTATTTGGGCCAAAAAAATCGGTAGTAGAAGCCCGTTTCACCATAGAGTTTTTACCCAAATACCAGATCGTCGCCCAGAAGGTGTGATGATGTCACTTCCTGGGCAACACTGACAACGTGGCCTTGGCCTTTCTCTCTGTCCTGGTAAGTTCCCCCCCACATCCCCTACCTGCTGTAATCCTAGTTCAATTGCATTGTTCATTGGATGTCTTATGCTGTAAGACTACATTGTTGTTGTTTTTTAAGTTCTGTTAATCGTTCTTGATTTGCAGGGAGAAAGACAAGCTGGAAATAAGTCCCAGAACAAACTTAAGAGTCCAGTGGCACCTTTAACACCAACAAAGGCTTATTCAAAATATTCACGCACATGAAGACTCATACCTTGAATAAACCTTTGTTGGTCTTAAAGGTGCCACTGGACTCTTAAGTTTGTTCTACTGCTTCAGACCAACACGGCTGACCACCTGAAATAAATCCCAGAGTTAGATTTGCTGTCCTAATGGTTGTCTTGTCATTCTTCCTCCAGGCCCTTTGAGGTTTCTATCGCAGACGGACTCCGTCACAGCTTTCGCGGGAGATACCGTTTTGTTAAAGTGTGAAGTTGTCGGAGAGCCTATGCCCACGGTCCACTGGCAGAGGAACCAAGAGGACCTGATTTTGACTCCCGCTGACACCCGGGTGGCAATCCTGCCTTCTGGATCATTACAAATTAGTAGAATTCATGCCGGGGACAGTGGGATCTATCGATGCCTTGCAAAGAATCCAGCCAGTTTCAGAACTGGAAATGAAGCAGAAGTCAGAGTTTTGGCAGGTAAGACACGTCATTCCATACATAATTAGATATCACACTGTCACATACTTTGTCCTTAATTATCCATTTGGTTGTAAAGTTCTACATCTGGAGAGCAAAGTTGGCTAAGGGAAAAAGAAATCACAACCCTGTCCTACCCCGAGTCCAGGATATAGGATTGCCAGAGATTCTCCTGATTTTTAAATCTCCAGATTTAGCAATATCAAGGCATTTGTTACTTCATCAGTCCTACAGTTGCCCTTAATCTCTGTCTGTTCCAGCATGCTCTGCAGACAGTTGATGGAACTAGTGGAGCAGGGGTGTCAAATATGTGGCCCACAAGCTGGATCAGGCCCTCAGAGACCCCCCAAATCTGGCCTGGAAGGGACCTGGCTGTTTCCTGCTTCGTTTTCCAGTTCTGCTGCTGCCGCCATGTCACAGCTTGCTTTACCAGACTCTCTCAGTTGCACAGGAGAGACAGATAGGCAAGCCTCTCCTGTGCGATTGAGAGAGTCTGGTAAAGCACTGGCTGAGGCTCCTCCCCCTCCTCTTCCCAGGGGGAGGGAGGGAACAGCCAGAGCTGGCTTTCTGGCCAGGCTGCCTCAATCATATACAGGAGACAAGGAGAAGCCTTTCTTTCCTCCCCCTGGCTGAGGCTCCTCCCTGAAGAGAGGGAGGGAACAAGGGAGAGCTTGCTTTGCTGGGCTGCCTCAATCGCATGGGAGAAATACCAAGCACCTTTAAGACCAACAAAGTTTTGTTCAAGGTATGAGCTTTTGTGTGCCTTGCTACAGTGTGTGTGTTTTGTTGGGCTCTTTATGCCAGGGGTCTCTTGGGTGCAACTGGGTCCTTCCCCCTTTGCACTGTATTCATGCCCTTATGATTCAATCTTTCTCAGTAAGAAAGCAATGTGAAATGTTTTAGAGGAGGAATAACAACCAGCCAGTGAGGTGGATTAGGCTATCCAGACGAAGTTCACACAGCACATTTCCTTTGTAGGAAGTTGTAGTTATTTCTCTGGGGAAAACCATAGTTTTGTCGTCCCACAGTCTGTGTCAGGATGCCTTCTCATGTTCTTGACCAGCATATGAAGCAACTTATGTACAAAAGGTTGCAGTGCCCAGCCACTTCATGTTTTCCCATGGGTCCGAGGCTCAGAACACTGAGCATGAGATTTCTTTAATGAATGTTAATAAATCAAAAGTGGGTTTGCAGCTTAGAAGAAGAAGAGAAGAGATTGGATTTATATTCTGCCCTTCAGTACCCAAACGAGTCTCAGAGTGGCTTACAATCTCATTTCCCTTCCCCTCCCCACAACCCCTGTTTTAAACAAACAAATAATGGGTATGCCGCATAGACTGGGATGCATAACTACATCCCTCTTAGCTGCTGTTTTATTTCTGCATGTTGCTGTGCTTTCGTTCCATCAATTTTCCTTGCTGATATTCCTGGTACATTTGTTTCTTTGGGCATTTTGTGCTATTTTTACCCATGTAAAAGAGAGTTTTGTGTAGTGGTTATGTGCACAGACTAGAGCTCCACTCGCAGCTGCCAGATGACCTTGGGCAAGCCATAGTTCTGTTAGAGGTGTTCTTGAAAAAGAGCAATTCTCTCAGAGCTCTCTCAGCCCCACCTACCTCACAGGGTGTCTGTTGTGGGGAGGGGAAGGGAAAGGAGTTTGTAAGCCGCTCTGAGACTCCGAGTGAAGGTCGGGGTGTAAATCCAATTTCTTCTCTGTTCTTCTTCTTCTTCTATGTGCAACTAATATTAAAAATAACGTGGAAAAAACTTAATCTTAACGGGGGGAGCAGGCTGCTGCTGCACACGGTACCTTGTTTCATGTGCCATCGGTGCATGTGCTGGTTCATTGCCTGCCTATAAGCATCCGCACTGCAGATTCAACTGGTTATTTGACAAACTAGGGATGGTTTGGATCTCTGTAACGTTACTCTCTTGATGTGGAAATTGCATTTTTCTTGTAGCAGATGAGAGTCCCAAACTGGCAGCAGGTCTGAAAATTATTTGATGCTCGACCTGGTGCATGGGCAGTTGTGAGTGAACAATATCCTTTTAGAAGATGAAGGCACCAATATCCTTTTAGAAGATGAAGCTGAGACTTGTGTTTCCCGCATCCTAGAATTCCCTCCTTGTTGAGAAGGGCCAGGGTGAGGAATGGACAGTAGACTAGATGCATCATTGTGAGCAGAGCAGAGCAGAGCAGAGCAGAGCAGACATACATCACTTCTACTATGTTGGTTGGTACATGCACACCTCCTAGAGGACAGGAAGGTAAACTGCAGGGGATCCATACTTGGCAGTCGGAGAAGCTGGGAGTCTGGTAGAATTTGAGGAGAGTGGAGGGATTTGGAAATCCTATCTTAGATCCCACTATTTCCCCTTCCTACAATCTCTACACCCTTGGGTATCTTCCCTGCCCAACTGATGCTCAGCTGATTGGCCCCACTGGTGGACCTCCTGATGGCCCCTGGTATTTTTGGCCCCTGTGTGACAGAGTGTTGGACTGGATGGGCCTTTGGCCTGATCCGACATTGGCTTCTCTTATGTTCTTATTATTATGTCCCTTCTGGTGCGTTTTTTGTCCTTTAGAATGCTTCTTTTAAAAGTTCCCCCACCAGTTAATTTACAAAGTCATGTTATTTCACATATGGGGGGGGGGGAGGCTCCTAAGAGCCAGTTTGGTGTAGTGGTTAAGTACACGGACTCTAATCTGGGAGAACCGGGTTTGGTTCCCCATTCCTCCCCTTGCACCTGGCTGGATGACCTTGGGCAAGCCGTAGTTCTGATAAGAGCTGTCCTTGAAAAAGAGCAGTTTCTGTCAGAGCTCTCTCAGCCCCACCTACCTCACAGGGTGTCTGTTGTGGGGAGGGGGAGGGAAAGGAGTTTGTAAGCCGCTCTGAGACTCCATTGGGTAGTGAAGGGCGGGGTATAAATCCAATCTCCTCCTCCTC